TCCGCGCTCGCAGCCGTGCCCCGGACTGGTGCCCGCGTGCGGAAGCCGCTACCGGTTGCCTTGCTTCCACGGCTGGGCCGCCGGTGCAGGGGTCCGCGCCCGCGGCGAGCCGCTGCAGGTCCCTTTGTCCACGGCCGGGCCGCCGGTGCTGGGGTCCGCGCCAGTGCGGGGCCGCTGCCGGGTGCTTGTCCACGGCCGGGCCCGCGCCAGCTGCGGAGCCGCTGCGGTTGCTTTGTCCCACGGCCGGGCCGCCGGTGGTTGGGTCCGCGGCCCGGTCGGAGCCGCTGACGGTTGCTTTGTCCACGGCCGGGCCTGCGCCTGCAGCGGAAACGCCGGTGGTGGAACCGCAGGTCAGTCGGTCCGTGGCAGAGCCAACGGTTCCACGCGTGGAAAGCACACAGGCAGCCGGTACACACAGTATCACACACACAGACACTCAGGTCACACAGAAAGCAGATAGTGAGCACACTGCAGCGAGAGTGGCTGAGTCTGTTCTGGAGGATGTGGTAATGGATGAGGATTTGTTAAGGTTACCTGTTAAAAGGAAAAACGAACAAGTGAGCAAAGGAAGTGTGGCTCAGAAAGGGAAGGTGTCAAAGAAGGAGTCAATGTGTTCCTCCTCTCAGCCAGAGGGAGTCTCAGAGGACTCAGAGGACAGTGACAGCGAGTCATTCTTTGACATCGTTGAGGTAGCAAAGGGAGAGGAGTATTCTTTCCAGAGGATCAGATCCTTTCTGGCGGAAACTAAGGGGTGGAGGGGGGTGAAGTTAGATGACTTTTTTGCAGATTTGCAGATCTTCCACAATACTGCCAGGGTTCTCATGCGGCGCAAAGAAGCCTTAGGGCAACCTTTCTTCAGCGGCCCAGAGAAGGCTCGGTTAAAGAAGATACTTCAAAGGATTAGAGAGGAAACTGCAAAGAATGATGAATAAGTACATCTTGGTTTTATTTTTTATTTTTCTTCAGCCAGGTTTTTGATTTTGTTAGGATGCAACTATAATTTCATTATGAGTGACATAAAGCTGGGCTCTTTAAACATTAACGGTGCTCGAGGGGATGCTAAGAGAGCATCTTTATTTACTTTATTAGGGAACAAGAGTTTAAATGTAACGTTTCTCCAGGAAACTCACAGCACTGCTGAGAATAAATAAACAAATAACTATACAAACTAGGGCTGTCAGTCGATTCAAATATTTAATCGCATGATATCCATTGTTAATCGCAAAGGAATCGCACATTTAGTATCTGTTCTAAATGTCTCTCTCTCTCTATATATATAACAGTCAAAGCATGAGACTGAAGTTCCCTCTGTGGGTCAATATAATGCGCTGTGATGTGCAGTCGACACGTTGGATGCGATCCGAATTATCTAACGCAGCCCCTCGTCCTCCACAATGTTAAGCTGTAGCCACCCATTTAGCTATCGCTGTTGTTGTCCAGAAGTCTCCCCGGCAAACTTTCAAGCGTGGTCTGCCGCAAGCGAGCGGCAGGAGCGGGGCTGTCGGTATCAGCTTGGCTTGCTGTTTAAAACCTTTTTTTTGTATCCATATCTCTCGCTAGAATCTCCCACATCAACAACAACAACAACAACAACGTCAAGCCTTTGGGCTCTGAAACTACGGGGCGGGCCGAGGACAAATACACATGCGTGAATCGCACGTTAAAATCATTTTGCATTATGGGAACTCCGACTGAGAAGTTCCCCTGTGTGTGTGTGTGTGTGTGTGTGTGTGTGTGTGTGTGTGTGTGTGTGTGTGTGTTCCTACCCAGGACTGAGTTCCTTGGTGATATCGGCCAGGTCATCGAGCTGAGCCACGTTTTGAGGCGTGGAGACGTCCCCGTGGGTTTTGACGGCAGACGTCAGTTTCCTCAGGCACGCCGCGGACGCCTTCATGAGGCCCTGACACGGACCAATCACACGGCGGTCCTTCTCCGACCAATAGGTGTCCTGGTTTCCTCGAGGCTCCTGGTCATCGTCCAGGACGTCACTGAAGGGGTCCTGAACCTCCGATAACGCCTGAGGGGGGAGGTATTCAGTGTACTAGAGTAGTATACAGTTACCGTGAATGTAAATACTCATGTGAAGTCATTCAAAATGTATTTGAGGTCTGTTGTATGGCTTTAAAGTGAAAGAAATACTCAGATCTTTTGACTTACATTCCAAAATGTTACACTTTATGAATAATGGCTACTTTCAGAATATTATATATTCAATTACTTGATTATTATTATGATTATTGAAGCATGATGTTACTGTGATTCCTCTCCCACCTGCTCCTGTGTATTATAAAAGTGAAATTGACCTCTTGAAAATATCTGCTTCTAGTGTGTGAGTGTACCTGTTCTATTTCCTCTATGGCATCTTTAACAACTCCAATCTGAGCGGACAGAACCACCAACAGAGCTGCCTTATTGTCTGCAGAATATAAAAACATTTCCATCACAAAGCTTGAAATTGAAAAACTAGTTGTGATTCCCTGTAAATGATTCAACACAATGACAGTAGAAGCATGTCGACATACATTTGACAATATTCATGTTTTATGTAACTGTGGTGGAATTGAAATGCTGTGTTTTGCTAGACAGAACATGAAGACAATAACACTTGTATATTAAATTGAGTTTAACTTAAGAAAACTAATACAATGATTTCAAATGGATCAAGTTAAAACTGTCTTTGGGCAAGTAGATGATTTTTTTCTTTTTTAATCCTGTTCAGACTACTGACCTCGGGGCAGCTGGGTTAAGCTGTCGCAGGCAGACCAGACGCCTCCGGTTGAAGTTAACTGTTCATGAGACAGACTGAAGGAAGGGAGGAAGAGATTGGGAGGAATTTAAATTAAATTAAAAGAGGGATACAAAACAGAGAGGGAACACAGAGTAGCTGAAAACACAACTGTAATACTCCAGGACCAGTGTCTTCAACTTAAATCTGTTCTGTTCTTTATGATCTTAAATCAAAGTGCATTTAATGTGTGTGTTAGTATTAGGGATGCTCCGATCGATCGGTCACCGATCGAGATCGGCCGAAACTCACTCTCTACCGATCGATCGGTTGCTCTCCAAACATGCCGATCGCATGACGTAAAATACATGACACTTTTCTCTGTGTACGGCAAAACAAGCTCGCCAAAATGGCTTCACCGGTCTGGCATTATTTGCGGTATGCAACGTGTGTGAAGCAGAAATCCTTGCAGCTCCGCCCGCCGGACAGGTAAGCGCAGCGAAACACACACATAGGGAGAACCAGACCGCAGTTCATTTCCCTCATATGCCAAACGAGAAATGATGGTAGCAAATCACCCGGTTCTTTACGACCAGAACTATTAACGGGATACAAACCGGAGGAACCAGGCATGGAGGGACGGTGGCAGAGACAGTGGGTGAAACTGGTAGGTTTTCGCCTGTTTGGGGAGTTTATATTATATATAATTGCTCGCATAAAATCCCCGGGGTTTTTTGCTTTGTATGTCGGGGGCGGGAGATTCATGTGATTGGTTGTTGGTCGCAAAAAATCCCCAAGCGTTCAGACACGCCCAGCTCCAAGATTTTCAAGATTTTTGAAAAGCTGCTGTGTGGACGTACCGTAAGAGTTAGACCTAACACACTTAGCTATTTTATCTACCTCTGGATCAAGCTAAACTAGCTATTATATATGTATTCTTCATTGTCGGGTCACTCATTACTGGATCAGTGAGCTGCATGAGATACTGACAGGCTGTCAGGAGGGGGAGAGAGGGGGGAGAGAGAGAGGGAGAGAGAGAGGGAGAGAGGAAAAGAGAGCGCTTCCGCTCATCTCTCCCGTGTTATTATCCAAAGTGAATGTGAACTTGAATAATGTACATCATTTGAATGTAATAATTAAGTTGATTGTTGTTTGTGGAAGCTCCAGTGAATGAGCCCCATTAACTGAGTTTTAAACATCACTTTAAATGGAAGATTTAAAGTGATGTTTAAATCTTCCATTTAGGCCCCGCCCACTCGATCGGTTCAGCGATCGGTATCGGCCGATACTGATTCCAGCGATCGGCCCCGAAATTGGCGATCGGAGCATCCCTAGTTAGTATGCCAGCTAATTAACATAAATACATAAGTGTATCATTTAATATTTACAATAGGAGGTTATTTTATACTAATTCAGTTCCATGACTAAAATAAGAAATGTTGTAAGGTCTGTTAAGGACTAAGAACTGAGAAAATGTTTGCAATAATAATAAACTGCTGATTAAAATGTTAAAGTTATGAACTTGTATGTAACTATGATATATGAAATGAATGTGTGTGTGTGTGCACCTCTGTAGTGGGGAGCTCAGTATGACCTCCACCAGCTGTGTGACTCCCTCCAACCCATCCACTGTGGCGGCTCGCACCTGTCGTCGCAGACTCACACCTGAGGACACACACACACACACACACACACACACACACCCACACACACACACACACACACACACACACACACACACACACACACACACACACACACACACACACACACACACACCACACACACACACACAACACACACACACACACACACACACACCACACACACACACACACACACACACACACACACACACACACACACACACACACACACACACACACACACACACACACACACACACACACACACACACACACACACACACACACACACACACACACACACACACACAAATAAGCAGGTATACAAGAAGCTTCACGTCATCCAGTCTTTCATGTTAACTCTTAAATCAATCCCTATTCAAACCAGACTGGATGGAACATGATGACCTGAATGTAAGTAAACGATCATCAGCATAAACCGAGGGATCGTGCTGTTCTGCTGAACGGATTCCTGATTGTTCTGGTGGGTTTACCTTGGCTCTTGGGCAGCCAGTAATACACAGTGGACAGAGAGAGGACGCTCTTCAGGATCCACTCTGACAACTTCTCTCCATCCTGCGGAGACAAAGGACAGGTAGATTTAGAGAGAGAGAAATGGAAAATGAATGTTGTAGCTCAGTCTGTAGAGACTTGGCTTGGGAACCGAGGGGTCGTTGGTTTAAGATCGGACTAAAAATAGGTAGCTGGAGAGGTGGCAGTTTGCCTTCTGGGTACAGAATTTGAATGTGTGTGTACCTACGTGTGTAATTGTAAAACAACACCAATGTGAAAAAAGAACGGCCCTCTCGAGATGAACAAAGGTGATCTGAACCCTTAAGGTACTGCCCATTATATCCATAACTACAACTGTAGAGTGTTTTATTATTTCTTGATCCGTCATAACGTGGGTGATGACGTTGGAGCTTCATTCAGTACCTCTAATCCAAGCTTTGACTGTAAAACAAAAAAAGGAAGAAAAAAAGACATTTGGTACAGCCCCACCCGAAAATGATTTGACCTGTTGTGAAGGCAGCGGGGGTTTGGAGAATGCCACGCTGAGTTTAGTGGCTTCCTGCGACACCGCCTTCACCGCCTGGTCTGAGGACAGGAGACACAGTTACATCACAATACAACTCTCCCAACACATGAGTGGGCTGCCATCCTCCTGACCATTACATTAATATTGGTCGGTAAATATTTGCCACACAATCCTGAAGTCAGAGCCATAATGAACTCAAAGTCTATATTAAGAGTAATAATATGTGTTTGATGGAATCTTTCATTGAAATGGCACATTTCTATTTTGGTATTCATTTAAGTGACGAGCTGGGTTATGACAACCAATGAAAACAGTTTTTTTGACCGTGATCTAAGAGTGCAATTTGTATACAGTCCAAAATATATTTTGAGTTTGTTTTTTTTACGGGTAATTTTCAGAGTTGTTTTTAAAGTCGAGATATGTTGTTAATAAAATACAATTTTATCTAAGACCTGTGGCTGCTTATTATTTTGGATTGTGTGTCGTCGTCCCTGCTCTATAGTGGCTTTATGGAAAGCTACAGTACTATACCTGTGTGTTGGCAACATCCCCTTATCTAAATACATAAATACAACAAAGAATCACCAATGAGCCTGTCATCTAATATTAACTCATGAAAACATTATTAGAAAACATTTTTTAAATATATGATACGTAACGGGTGATATCAGAAAAAGACATCAAGGATAACAAAATGGGAAATGTTGCTATAGAGAGGGTCTTAATGGCAGCTGAACAGGGAGCCATCATATTATGGATGACGGTCATAATAATAAACCAAACTCAACTCAGAGTGTCCCAGAAGTTGGAGAGGTCAAACGCTCCACCGGACTCATTGGATTCTCCATCTGAGGAAGAAAATAGTTATAGTTTGGTACAAATCTTCCCTTTTCAAGATAAATTAGCAAATTTAAGAAAAACATTTAAAGACTGATTTGTTATTTACTTTGAAGTCTTAAATGAATCAAAAATTTTAAAAAAATTAACCCTTAAAAGTCTTACCCTTCATGTGTTTTTCTATGCATACATTTTAATTTGTAAAGTACAGTTTCTAGACAAATGTAGTGAAGTAACAACACAATATTTCCCTCTGAAATGTAACCGAGTTGAAGTAGAAATTGGCATGAAAAAGAAAGACTTAAGTAAAGCACAAATACCTTAAATTGGTACTTACTCCCCCAACTTCATTAACTGACAACTTGAATATTTATGTCAAGCTGCTACAAAGACTTAAGAACATTGACAACTTGATAACAGTTAAGCATAAAGCAAGAAGGCATACAACTGAATTTATAAAATGTTTAAAACATGTATCCATGCGGAGAAACCGAGCCCAGCATACATTATAACGTTTGCATGTAATGAAAAAAATAAGCGTTTATATGTATATTTAGAGCTCGGTTAGCACGTTTAGCTTGAGCATGCTAGCTATATTAGCTCTATCTAAAGGCCGTTATTTATGTGCGCTGCGTCATTTCTAATGCGTCATATTTACCTCTGACTCGGTCTCTCACACACTGGATGGAGTTCAGTAGATTTCGTAAAGGCACAAACACATTTCCAACTGAATTATCAGCACTCATGTCATCAAAGTTTTTTTAACAGCGTGATACATGCGTGTTGTGGAACTACAGAAGAGCAGTATTTTGATCCAGGGACGATTCTAGATGAAGCACCGACACTGCAGTCTGAGAAAAACACGCTTTTGCGACACCTAGTGTTGAAACAGGAGTACAAACTACCTAAAATATTGTGTTTTATGAAACCGTTTTAAATATGAGCAATATTAGAATATATTTTCCAAAGTAAGAAAAGTTGAACATTTTAAAACAAACAACTTTATTTTGGAAAAAGCTACTAGTAATTTGGCACATATTACATTTTTCAATAATTCCACTGTACAAATCTCTATAGGCTAAATGCTTATTTCCTGTCCTGGTAACCGTAATTTATCAATGATGCATTGTTAGATAATAAACATACATAATATGTATTTTATTTTACTTTATATCAATACTATTTTATGAATCACCTTAAGCATATTCTTCTTCACTGGTCTTTAGTTCATAAAAAAAAATGTCTCTGTAATGTTTACAATAACTATCATTAGTTCATGGTAAATACATAGTAGAACAAACATACTTTTACAAACAAAATGATAATAAACAAAAGGTAAAATAAAAACAAAGATTTGAGTGAATCTCAAAATGAAAGGCTCTAATTTGGCTGCTTGGTGAAAAAGAAAGCTCAAGACCCGATTCCCATCAGGCACAACACCAGACTCGCTCCAAATAATCCAGCAGCAGGACTCAAGCTGCTCTGCATCTCCTTCAGCTCTGTGGAAGGAACCAAAAATAAATTCTAAAGGTTAATGTATCCAGGAATTGCATTTAATATGCACAAGCTTTGGTCCAGAGCAGGGTATATTGAGTGTATAATAGGTACATGAATCCTCCCTTTAGTCTTAAAAAGTGCTTCCCTTGTTCTGATCTTTAATTTAACTCTAAGCCTTTAGGTGAATTCCCCAAAATGTATTTCTTTTTTATTCAAATGTACTTGGTGAGGTTTTACTCAAGACCTCTGCTCAAAACATCAGTCAATCGTGTTATAATAATATGAAATGGGTTAACATTTTTTATTAGATTTTATTTTATTTCACACATTTTTGTTGAGTAATTAATTAATTAATGTATTATTAATATTATTATTACCAAGTAAGGATTCAGATTGTTGTCATGCCTGTTATATCCTCAATAGAGATGCCTAATGTATTTGTGTGTGTATTATTATAGTACTCTACAATAATCACTAACTGACTCAGTTCTGATGTTGCGGGTGCAGATAGTGATGGTATTAGACATTTTGGATTCATACCGTAAATGTAACTGAACTCCCCCTTTATAATAAACATGTTATCATAATTATTTTTGATTCTACAGCCCTCAGTTTTACCCCAGCTCCTGGAGAGAAGCTGAGGTGAGGCCTGACGCTGGGCCGAGCAGGAGTAACGTGGGTTACGTGGTAACTGTGGGCAGTGGCGGCGCCAGAGATTTTCTCTAGGGGGTGCTGTGGGGTAGCTTGACGTTTCATAGAGGGTGCTCAAACATTAAGGGTTTCCCATTAATGCACCAGCGCTACAGTTGCTCTGAGTGTTAGCGATGCTTGCTAATGTAAACAAAGACCATATTACTTTCAAAACAAATATAAATGAACAAGAGAAATAAGGGAAATAAGTTCTGAAAAACACGGATTAGATGTCCGAAAAATATGGAGAAAGTAGTCAGAGCCTGTGGAAAAATACCTGAGTGAAGAGATTTGTTTAATATATGAAGTAGATCTGAGGCCATGCAAGGCAAAACATCTTTGAAAAATCCTGTTGGAATAATATCAAGGCAGCAGGAGGAGGACTTCAGAAGTTGAATAATGTCCTCTAGGTTTTTATCATTAATCTGATGGAATTGTGTCATGATGTCTGAATTGATATTAGGTGGACATAGGGACAACACATTTGCTGTTCCTGATGCAGAGGCACTGACTGCTTGTCTGATGTTCTGAATTTTGTCAGTGAAAAAGGCAAAATCATTGCACGCCCTGGTGGATAGAAATTCAGAGGCTACTGACACTGGGGGGTTAGTCAGTCTGTCGACGGTAGCAAACAAGGCACGTGCATTGTTTTTGTTTTTGGTAATGATGTCAGAGAAGAACGATTGTCGTGCGTTTTTCAATTCCAAATTATAAAGGCCAAGTCTCTCTTTATAGATTTCAAAGTGAACCTGGAGATTTGTTTTTTGCCACCTGCGTTCAGCTTTTCGACACTCTCTTTTTTCTGTTCTCATGGTCATGGCCTTTCTCCATGGAGATATTTTCTTGCCAGACCTTCCTTTAACCTAGTTGGAGCAATGGCATCTATACAAATTAAAAAATGTTGAATTAAAATGATCTACTAGCTCATTTACTGAGATGTTAGCAGGGTCAAGTGTGGAAGAGAAATTCTGAGTAAACATTTCCCTAGTATTTTCAGTTAAATATCGCTTTGTGGTTATCTCTTTTTGAACACTTTTGTGAACAGAAATAGAGCTCTCAAAGAAAACACAGGAATGGTCAGAGAGTGCAACATCAGTCACCACAACCTTAGAGATATTCAGACCCTTTGAGATAATTAAATCCAGAGTGTGTCTGTCACATGCTGAGTCAGTCCATAGCTACCAAGAACACAAAACAATTATTTGGCCCCTCTGTCCTGGAGGTTGTCAACATGGATGTTAAAATCACCAACAATGACTAGACGATCAAAGTCAATACACACTATAGACAGCAGTTCAGTAAAGTCATCAAAAAAGCTTGCACAGTATTTGGGTGGTCTATAGATATTTAGGAACAGAGCTCGAGAGGAGCATTTCAACTGAAGGGCCACATATTCAAAAGAAGCAAAGTTCCCATAAGATGTCTTCCTGCATTGAAGGGAATCATTGAACAGAATAGCAACTCCACCCCCTTTCTTATGCATTCTTTCCTGACTCATAAAACTAAAGTTGGGAGGTGTTGATTCGATAAGAACAGCTGCACTGTTATTTTGTTCAATCCAAGTTTCCGTTAAAAACATAAAATCGAGATTGTGCTCAGTGATAAAATCATTGATTAAAAGTGTTTTTCCTGCCAAAGACCTGACATTTAATAAAGCTAGTTTAAGTTTGTTAAATACACTATCAGTCAGGTTTTTTGTGACAAGCTGTGGCTGACATGGAATCACTGCTAAATGTGATAAACTCACACAAACGTTTGAGCGCTTCCTGTATCTAAGATGATTCACCGCTCTTAATCTATTACCTATCAACACAGATATCGGCAAAGCTACAGGCAGGCAGGGCCCCGGCATGTCCTGGAAAGAGTTGAGAGTGCCATACGCCCTTGAGCCTGGATCCAGCACATATCAGTAAGAGTTTGTTGCGTTTTGTACACACACATCCTTATCAGGCTTCGGAGACTGCAGATGCTTTCTTGAAGGGAGGGGAGGTGGTTGACGTAGGCACGGTGATGAAGACGGAGGAGATGGTGCGCGTATCTGCTTCTGTGATTTTGGTGGGCGTTGGTTGAAGGGCGGAGGTAAAGGACATGCTGCCAGGAGGCGGAGGTGGTTGACGTAGGCACGATGATGAAGACGAGGGAGATGGTGTGCGTCTCTGCGGTGATTTTGGTGGGCGTCGTTGAGGAGCGGGGGTAAAGGACATGCTGCCAGCCCTGCGTATCGCCTTAGTTTGGTCTTTGAACTCCAGGAAGGAATCGGTGCCAACCCTCTGTATCTCCTTTGTGTGTTCAGCGATCTTCAGGAGGGTGGGCGAGGGTGAAAGGGTGAACGGAGAGTAGAGAGAGCTGTGGGGTGAAGGAAGAGTATCCTCAGAGGTGATAGGGGGGGTGAAGGGCGGTGGAGACTCCTCCATTTGTCTCCCATAATCAAGACATTCCTCAGGCGGGTGCAGTGATAGATTTTCAAGGTTTTCAGAGCGATGTGTTGTGTCTTTCTCTTGTTTTGATTCCTCTTGCCGCTTGTCCTTGGCAGAGGGAACATATTGATGACGTAGGCAGTTGAATACGTTAGAGATATACAATTTCACTCCTGACTTGTTCAGGCAAACTCCATTTGCCTTGAAAAGATGTCTGCAATCCCAGAACAAGTTAAAGTTGTCAATAAAATGGACAGAATGGTCAGTAAAGGCAGTTGAAAGCCAGGTGTTCAGTGCAAACAATCTGCTGAATCTCTCCACTCCTCTTTTGACTGGCGGTAGAGGGCCACTGATAAACACCTCCGCATTTAGAGAGCTGACAGTTTCCAACAAACATTTAAAGTCGTTTTTCAGCACTTCTGACTGTTGTTTCACAACATCATCTGTTCCAATGTGCAGTACCACCAGTGGCGACTGGTCATTAGGGGCAGGTGGGGCACAGCCCCACCTAGTGTCAGCAGAAAGTATTACAAATAATGATTACCAATAATGCAAAAAATAAATTAAAAAATATATTAAATATATTTTAAGATCATGTTTAATCATCTGATTCGTCTGTATATTGCTGTTTTAGTTTGTGTTCTTCTAATTAGTGTCTACAGTGTGTGCCTATTGAGCTGTTTAGAGCCATGTGGGACAAAACCCGATCCTGCCCCTCCCTCTTACTGTCTAAGTCAATGGTGACTGTAAAAACTACACTGCGCATGCTCAGAATATTTTCCTATTTAATGTGTATGGCAAAAAAATAATGACTTTAGGGGCATAGAGCTGCCATCCCCACCATACATCATCTCACATAATTCAGAGCTGATTGGCTGTAAGTACGTGTGCCGCGAAAAGTGTGGTGTGTGAAGAGGAGGAGAGAGAGCTGCAGTGACGCATCCTAAAACCAGGAAGTAAGCTTCCCTCGACAAAAAAGCAATGAGATTTCTCCATAGGATTTTAGAAAATAGCTCAAAATAAGGTCTGTGGGAAACAAACCTGTTAGATAAATGCACGTTTTGTTCAGCCGGATAATATCCACTTGTCTACCCTACTTTTATATTTTTCGAATCATAAATCTATTGATTAGATTAGATGTCTGGATTTTATTTCCATGCATATGAAACTGAACACATTTGTGTGTGCATTGAAAAACACAAGTGTGAATCCTTCTGTGTGCATGTGTGTATTATGAGACTGTTCTGAGCCCATACAGTCATAGGCGGCGCGTGAGGCTCAGGTTTGGGAAGGCTAAATAACTTTTTTTACCTGACGCGGCCCGCCTCCGGCGTCTATAGAAAAGAGATCAACTCAGTTTGCGCAGTTTAAATCTCTCAAGTCATATTACAGGATAAAGGAAATACAGTTTAAACTGCCGTATGCAGGGAAGACGCCGACGTGTCGCACTTATCATTCATATTACATCATCAATCAGATCATCGATCATATAATATCATAATATATCATATATTTCCTTATCTGAGTCAGCTTCTCCAGCCGTATCTGGCCGTGCAACACTTACAGTGTCACATACTGTATGCAGGGGCGGCGGGTGCTGTAGGCTAAGGAAGCCTTCCCAAATATTTGTGTCACTGCATCCTGGTAAAATACAAATATAATGTATAATGTCTGTGTCTTTGACATTAGCGCTGCTAGCCACCTGTGCCCTGTACTACGAAGCCAGTTCAACATACCCTGGATATGTTTGAGTAACAAACAAACTAACAACAACAAACTAACAAACAAACGAGATCTCGCTAAGCGGTCCTACGACGCTGGTTATCAACTCGGTAAATCAAGCCAGGGTTTCTCTCACCAGCTGTGATTGGTCAAATGTAGCTAACCCCGCCCCTTTCACATGAACGCGCTCTCAGCTGGTGAGAGAAACCCTGGCTTGATTTACCAAGTTGATAACCAGCGTCGTAGGACCGCTTAGTGAGATCTCGTTTGTTAGTTTGTTGTTGTTAGTTAGTTTGCTACTCAAACAAATCCAGGGTATGTTGAACTGGCTTCGTAGAAGAGGGCACAGGTGGCTAGCAGCGCTAATGTCAAAGACACAGACATTATCCATTATATTTGTATTTTACCAGGATGCAGTGACACAAATATTTGGGAAGGCTAACCCCCTAATCCCACCAGGAGCGTCTGCGCTGTGTTGCGCTGCGGCTGCGGCGTTTTTAGCGATCGCGGCCACTCTAGTCAATGGGTTCTATTCCACCAGACCCGCTGCGCCGCGCTGCGCCGCGCTGCGCCGCGCTGCGCCGCGCTGCGCCGCGACTCCAAGCGTCCCAGAAGCTCCTCGCCGCAAGGAATTTCTAAAATATAGGATGAATCCTATTTTTGACGCAGCGCGGCGCAGGCAGGAAGTGGAACGTTCATCCAACAACTGCGAGGCTGCACACACGACGCTCCGCTTCCGCAACGTTTTGAAACGCGCCTGGTGGGTTATGACGCAGGAGGAGGTCGCAGCCGCAGCGCAGCCGCAGCGCAGACGCTTCCGGTGGGATCAGGGGGTTAGCCCCTAATCCCACCAGGAGCGTCTGCGCTGCGTTGCGGCTGCGGCGTTTTTAGCGATCGCCACTCTAGTCAATGGGTGCTATTCCACCAGACCTGCTGCGCCGCGCTGCGCCGCGGCTCGAAGCGTCCCAGAAGCTCCTCGCCGCAAGGAATTTCTAAAATATAGGATGAATCCTATTTTTGACGCGGCGCAGCGCGGCGCAGGCACGAAGTGGAACGTTCATCCAACAACTGCGAGGCTGCACACACGACGCTCCGCTTCCGCAACGTTTTGAAACGCGCCTGGTGGGTTATGACGCAGGAGGAGGTCGCAGCGCGGCGCAGCCGCAGCGCAGACGCTTCCGGTGGGATCAGGGGGTTAGCCTTCCCTAGCCTACAGCACCCGCCGCCCCTGCATACGCT